CATTTCATTTCATTTCATTTCAAAAACATTAACTACAAATTGTATGAAAAACTGGAAGATCAAGTCTCGGAAAAATGCTCAGAAACCCTAAAATCTGATTAGATTTTTACATTATTTAATAACGATGTAAAATAAAGAAGTAATTAATTTGAGAATACTCCAAGAAACAAAATCTAGTTAAGTTGGAAAAAAACTAAAAAAAAAAAAAAAAAAAAAGTTTTTAGGTTTGCTACAGATTTTTTAAAAATCTTTCAGTATAGATACATAATCCATATTTGTAAAAAAAAACCAAAATCTACAAATACTTGAGTCCCTGTTTTAAAACACTAATAATAATTTAATAGGCCCTATTGGCTGATATCTGCAGTCTTCCTTATCTCTCCTCTACAGCCAATCAGCTTCAAGGATACAAATGCCGCTCTTGGATTGGCTTCTTTGTAGGCGCCGATTCAGGAGCTTACAAGCATTTGGAAACTGTTTCAACTTTCCAAGCTGATGTTTTAAATATTTTACATATGTTTCAGATATATTCTGTGAAAAAACATCCACCGGAGGTCCACTGTACCATTTTTGTTTCTACTTTTTCTTTTAAGTTTGTTACTTTCAGCACCATATATTATATTTTTTTACCTCATTTTGATGATTACCTCATGATTAGCAGTTTAAAACTTTCATTGAATGTTAGCAGCTTGTTTTAATTCCATATGAAATGTTTCAGTTGAGGGAAGCCCAATGGAGGCCTTGTCAACAGAACAGCCAATCACAAGTTCCGGAGCGCGTATGCCCCAGTCGCCGCGGCGACCCGTGCAGCAGCTTCTGCCCCAACTCAACATCCATCCCGCTCAGTCTTCAGAACTGGGACCATCTGCTCAGGTTCGTACACTGCGAGCGTCTCTCTAGAAGGTCTGTTGGGTGTTTTTGTTTCTCCTCTAACCGGTTTTGTGTCTCCAACAGCGAATCCGTCGCCAGTCAGTGGGCCGACTCAATCCTGGCATGGCAAGCAGTGCGGTAAGTCACTTTTCATTTTATTAGACGTGCACCAAATAGGCCTGTCACAATAACTAATTTTATTAGACAATAAATTGTCCCTGTAATTATTTTTTTATTTAAGACCACTTTTAAATATATTGATAATGGTATAATAATCAATATAGAGATAATAATCTCAAAGACCAATAAACTGTAATTTTGTAAAGAACTCTGAATGTTAGAACTGAGAAATTTTAAAAATCCAAAATAAAACATAATAAAAAAATTCAGTTAAATGGAAATAAAAACACACAACCAAAACCATAAATAAAATAGATTATGAAGTCTCCATAAACAAAATTGTCCTTCAAAAAATATTGTCAGAATAGAAATTATCAAGCTCATTTTAATTTATCATGAAATTAATTTCTTCTTGCAATAAACAGGCAGGTTTAGCATCAAATAAACTTTGTTCTCCTATTTCCAGTTTTTGTCGCTAAATGTATTTTTAGTGCCATTCAAAATATTTTCTAGCTATCCTGCTATTATTTACATAAGAAGCGATTAGGCTGCCACCAATGAATATTTTAGTAATTGATCCACCTATTGCTTGTTCTGACAATCATATGAAGTCTGGAGTCAAAAGTTTAGCTCTCTCTCGCTTTCTCGCAGCTGAAATAAATCAGACATGTTGTGGAAAATGCAGTTTCCTTTTTAAAAGTTTTCTACATCTCTGTGCTTCCCTGGACTTCATTTCAAAATACTGATTCTGCAGCTAACCAGTGGAGAGTCATCGAATCACAAATCTGCTGCCCTGATAACACATTATAATGGTGCTTTCACTGATCAGGAAATATATTTTGAGTGTTCAACCAGGCATTTTTAATTGGCTTAAACATGATTAGGCTTGGGCTGCACAGTAGCGCAGTTGTTAGAGCTGTTTCCTTGCAACAAGAAGGTCCTGGGTTCAATTCCCAGCCCCAGTCCCTCTGCATGGAGTTTGTGTGTTCTCCCTGTGAAGAACAAGCACAGGGAGTACCCGGTTTACTCCGGGTACTCCAGTTTCCTCCCACAGTCCAAAAACATGACTGTCAGGCCAATTGGTTTCTCTAAATTGTCCCTAGGTGTGAGTGTGTGTATGCATGGTTGTGTGTCTCTGTGTTGCCCTGCGACAGACTGGCGACCTGTCCAGGGTGAACCCCGCCTCTCGCCTGGAACGTTAGCTGGAGATTGACACCAGCACCCCCCTCCTGACCCCACCAAGGGACAATGGTGTAAAGAAAATGGATGGATGGATGATTAGGCTCTGGTCACCAACTGATAACGTTGTAAATTTGTTGTTTTTGTGTGATTATCAGCATGAAATTGTATTTTTCTCTCTGCTCTGCAGCAGCATTTCTTTGAAGAAGACGACAGGATGGTTCCCAGCATTCCCAGTCTGGTTCCCCCTCGCTCAGAAGGCTTTGACCAGGCTATCCAGTACGTCTCGAAAAGCTGTAGAATATACATCTGTTGCAACTAACAATTAATTGAATATTCGACTATTCTGACAAATAATCGGATACAAAAAATTGGCACATTCTGCAGATTTTTCATTTAACCCAATAAGCCTTTTTTAGACAATGTTACCAATGCAGTAAAATAGACAAATAAATAATTCTGTTCTTTTTTTAAATAAGAAAAACTTTTTATTACATAAAATACAATAACAGTCTGTTAGTGAACGCTTGATAATTTTCAGTTTTAGTTCATGTTTCATCTCGTTTTCAGCTTTAGTTCATGTTTCATCTCGTTTTCAGTTTTAGTTCATTTTGTTTCATCTCGTTTTCAGTTTTAGTTCATTTTGTTTCATCTCGTTTTCAGTTTTAGTTCATTTTGTTTCATCTCGTTTTCAGTTTCAGT